AAAAAAAAAAAAAAAAAAAAAAAAAAAAAAGCATTGGGGGAAAAAAAAAGTCACAGGCCCTGACTACACAATTCAATGAACTTCCATAGTAGCCATTCAGGACGGAAGCTGTGGTGTGTTACATTTTCTCTCTCAGATATGTTTTTATGCACATATCCAGTATCCGGTTGCTTTCTTTTTTTTTTTTAAATTTTTTAAAATTTTTTTTAACTTTTTTTAAGATTTATTTATTTATTTATTATATGTAAGTACACTGTAGCTGTCTTCAGACACCCATATGAGGGCATCAGATCTCATTACAGATGGTTGTGAGCCACCATGTGGTTGCTGGGATTTGAACTCATGACCTCTAGAAGAGCAGTCAGTGCTCTTAACCGCTGAGCCGTCTCTCCAGCCCCTGGTTGCTTTCAAAGTCACTCTCACCAGCTTCATCCCTACTCGGGGCAGGATGGATTGAAGACTGAGCTCTGAAGACTCCTATCTGGTGACGAGTAAAATATATGTTTTTCACAGGGGAGGCTGTCACTAGAACAAGTGTGGATACATTTAAAAACTTCTAGCTGCTAAATCGGTTTCTTTATATTATTATTAATGTAATGTCTTGGGGGTGATCCTTCTGCCAGGCTCTGGAGCACTGGGATTATAGGTATGAGCCACCACCTCACCTTTTCCTAAATTAAGTTTCTTATTTGAATAGCAGGAAGAGGTTAAAAAAAAAAAATCCCAAAGCTAGGCAGCTGTATTTCTTGGCTGGGTTTATGTGTTGTGTGCTATAGTAGGTTTGACTAACGGCAATATATCTTCCAATTTTTCATCAACAGTGGTGGGTTACTCTGATTTATGATCTTAGTCCTCAAAGCTGAGAAGCAGTGCACACAATCGAAGTGAGTTAGTGGAGTCCTAGTCCATTCCTGACCCTCCACCCCGCCCCCTTTCTCCTCTAGGCTCACTAATTTTTTTGTATGATTATATCCAGGAACAGGGTCAAAGACTAAGATTGGGAGCATCTCATACATTTCAAGCGAAGAGAGATTTCTTTCTGCAGCAGGCTCCTACTTCAGGGTGATCAGACCGACTTCTACTTTCCTCGATCACTGACCGAAGCACATTCTCTCCGCAGCGTGCTTAGCTGTACACATTACATGTTTGTTCAATTCATCTGACTTCTCAGGGCAGTGATCTTTTTACCTTGTTTCGCACACCAATCCCAACCTCCCTTTCAAGGAGATCAATCACTATCAAGGAGATCATTCAATATGATGATCTCCTTCCTGGGTTTTGGGTCAGAGCCCGCAGGAAGTAGGACTGTCATGCATGTTTACTGAGTAAGGGATTCTAAAGAGTAAGAAGCAGCACGCCATTCAACATTCTTTGGATGAGGCTCAGAGGAAGCGGGCATCAAAACAAAGGTCTTCTTCCTCAACCTCGAATTCAAAGTTAGGCTGCCTTGTTCCACACGGTCGCCCCAGCTCCAAAAGGTCACCAAGCAAGGTTTCAGGAGTCGAGACTTCGGCCGAGGAACACGCTCCCGGAAGTCAGCAGGTGCACTGATTGGTCAGGTGTCTGTTCTTCCAGCACGGCTGGCCGCGCACATCGACTCGGTGACCCCAAGTCTCCTCTGGGCGAAGCGAGGGACCCAAAGCCTCGACATTCAGCGCCAGAGAGGCGAGCTCCGCCCGCGCGCACTCGGAACCCGAGCCCGCGGCGCAAGGTCGGACTACCACCCCCGAGAGGCCCCGCGCGGGCCGCCGCTGATTGGTTGCTCAGCTGTGCGCGGGGAGGGGGCGCGGAGCCCGAGAGTGAGCGAGACTCTCTGTGTGCGCGTGCGCGCGACGGGCGCGATGGCTGCGCTCGCCGGGCTAGGGGTTCTCGGCGCCGGGCGCCGTCTGTGGAAGCTGCCTGTGCGCCTGTCTGCGGGACTCCAGGGCTGCGGGGTCCGGAGGGGCTACCTCGTGGGCAGCGCTGAGGTGAGGACGCATGGGGTCTGCACTCGCAGGGCCTGCGGGCGGGAGGGCCGTGCGGACCACTGAGCATCCTGGCCTGGGGCCGCCCTCCCGGAGACCGTGGAGCTGCGGAACCTTCGTCCTTCCCGGAGCGGTGTCCGAGTGCGCACCTTCCACCCGCTGGAAGAGTCTATGTCCGGGGAAAACGATCAGAACCAACCCCAGGTCAGCCTCGGGTGGGTTCGCAGCTCCTTCCCGCGCGTCAGGAATGTTCCTCAGCAGTTAATGCGTTTCCACTTCTGTTCGAAGTAAGAGCTCGTGGATTCTTATTTCTAAAAAGGTAACTGTTTGACTATGACCAGTAAACTGTACAGCTCAGGTGTGCAGCCATCAAGGCAAAGGAGATGTTTATTATTATTATTATTACTACTATTATTATCTTTATCATGTGTTATTATTGTGTGTGTGTGTGTGTGTATGAGAGAGAGAGAGAGAGAGAGAGAGAGGTAGGTATATGTAGACAGGTTAGAGAACAACTTTGGGGTTCTCACCTTCCAGCATGTGTTGTGTGGAGCTCATGTCTTCAGCCTTGCACAGAAAACTCTTAACAGCTAAGCCATCTTGCTGGGCTTTGGGTTTTTTCTTTTTATTATTATTATGTGAGTTTCCAAAAATTATGAGATTATTAATTCCATATTTTTTTAAAGAATTATTTATTTTTTATATATGTGAGTACATTGTCATCTTCAGACACACCAGAAGAGGGCATTTTCAGACACACCAGAAGAGGGCATCAGATCCCATTACAGATGGTTGTGAGCCACCATGTGGTTGCTGGGAATTGAACTCAGGACCTCTGGAAGAGCAATCAGTGGTCTTAACCACTGAGCCATCTCTCCAGCCCCGAATTCCATATTTTTATCTTTGAGATAATCATGCGTTTTGGCACACCTGCTTATCTCTCCCGACTTGTGCTGTAAGGCTTTGAATCCTGGAGTCCTCATTTCAACCCTAAACTGTGTGGCAACCTTTAAAAGAGGCGTTTTAAACCGAACCACAGCGCTGTTACCATGCCTAACAAATTTCTCTCAACTTATTTTGAAATTATAAGTGAATAAATTTGTTGTGTGTTTGTGTGAGAAGCCTTAGAACTTCCCTAACTGACCTGGAACTCACCCTGTAGACCAGGCCAGCCGGAAGTCCTTGAGGATCCATCCTCCTGCCTCTGCTTCCTAGGATTTCAGGTATCCAGAACAGTGTTGTTTGGATTCACAATGGGACAAAGATAAAATTGAACTGCTAAAGTGATTTACCTTTTGGGAAGCATCTCAAGGGAAGTGCTTCTCAGCTGTCCTTTGGGTCACACAACAGCCATTATTGAACACCTTGAGGGGCCTAAGCACAGCGTCATGGCAAGTTTATAGAGAAGTCATATCCTCTTATCTGTTCAGATCTATGTACTGATTCTCTCTGGGAAGAGTAAGGGCTTCTGTGGTCACTCTGAAATTTACCAATGAGTCCTAGTTAGGACCCCATTAGGAGTTTTTCGAGCCACAGGGAAGGGCTGCAGGGATCCTGAGAGCCACTGGGTATGAATGAAGTACCCTGATTAGGGGAAATGGATGGATTACAAGGGGTAGACCTCAACTAGCCAGAAGCTGAAGCAGGTGATGTGAGCAGTGTGACCAGAGATCTCAGTCTCCCCTAGAACCTGCTTGCTTCAGGAACAGCCCCAGGAGTAATGAAAAGGCCGAGCTTTGTAGCTACCTCAGTTTGAATTGGAATTCTGGACCCAGCACTTGTAAACCAGCAGAGAAACCTTTGACTCATTATTCTCTCAGAAGCTGGTTCTTTGATGGGGGAAGGAGCTGAGAAAAGAGCCCAGGGGTCATACAAGTTAGGTAAATAATTGGTCCCCCTCTTTGTCCCCCTTTTTTTTTTTTTGGGGGGGGGGGTACAGTTTTGCTAGATAGCATGGCATTTGGAGATAGACACCTCCTCAAAGTTTGATAGAATAAATAAAAACACGTTTGTTATATGTTTGGCTTGGAGCCCAGTGTACTCTCCTGAGCTGAGGTGTGGTGGATCAGCCTTGGAGGCTTTTGGCTCCGTTTGTGTGTTTCCTGCATGCATGAGAGACTTGCTGCTATTTTCTGGTGGTTAGAAGTGAGAGTCTTACTGATTTGAGTTGATATCCCCTTTTTTTTTCCAGTTTTCCTGCCCACTTTCAACTTGGCCCATGGGCTAAGCCTGGGAGACTGTATAAGCTGGGTAAAGGCCACTCCCCTGGGGGCTCTTACCTGCTTAGTGGAAGGAAAATGGAGCCATGACTTAGTCAATCTCCTTCTTAGCTTACCTGATACAGAAAGTCATAACTTCATCCCCTTGATCTCTTGGCTTCCCATCTTACCTGGACTGCTGTTGCTCTGAGGTTTCTGACTGTTTTTCATGGGTTCCACCCTTAAATGGTGCTGTTCTTCCTACTTCCCTGAGAACAGAGACTTAAAAAAAAATTCTTTTGCTGGGTACAGGCGACACACATCTTTTATCCCAGCACTCAGGAGGCAGAGGCAGGGGAATCTCTGTGAGTTCGAGGCCAGCCTGGTGTAGAGAGCTAGTTCCAGGACAGCCAGGGCTACACAGAGAAACCCTCCTCAACAACAACAAAAAATCATTTGTAGTTGTATGTCTGCGTGCGGGTATATGGGTGTGTGTCTGCATGCGGGTGTACGTGTGTGCATGTGGATGTGTGTGTGCATGTGGGTGTGTGTGTGTGCATGTGAGGGTGTGTGCATGCGGGTATATGTGTGTGTGTGCATGTGGAGGTGTGTATGTGCATGTGGGGGTGTGTGTGTCTGGATGTGGAGGTGTGTATGTGC